TACAGTTTCTTACCCACACTTCACTGCTATCTGCTGTCTTCACACATTGTTTGCTTATGATGAGTTATCGTTAATAAATAAATAATTTACTTCAATTGTTACTGTGTGGACTTTTTAATATATGGTCCTGAGCTGGGCATAACACACCCGGAAAGAACTGAAAACAGTTTCAAGACAGAAAACTTTAACATACTGTGTCAAAGCAGCCACAGCAACTACAAAGTCAACAACACTGAACTAATGCATAAGAACTACAAGGTGCCCTCTGCAGCAAAGAGTTGCACACTGTCCAGACTCTTTTTTGTGGAATTACCGAGAGGAATAACCCACTGCTCCTCCAGGGCCAGAACTAAGGACTTATTGCAATTTATCCCCTCCATCCTTGACCATCATCCCTCTGTACCTACAGTAATTATGCACACGGGCACCAATGACATTAGACTTATTAATTCTTTAAAAAAAAACATAGAAAGCAGCGGATGTTGAGACAATCCACCCAGACAGATCAGCCGGCAGAGACTTGTATGTCCACATTCATCATTAAAATATTAAGGAGATGCTTTTATAATTACCTACATACTTTGGTATCTGTTCCCAAACTTCACTGTTAACAGGTTTTATCAATCTTTCCAAAAACAGGTTGATGTTTTTGTTAATGCCTGATCTTCTTTTAACTGGCCACAATTGAAAAGATCATGAGTATCATGAGATGAATCATTAAAATGTTGTTGAAACTGGTTGATATGTAGAATAGATATATTTTAATGTTGTATAATAATAAGTATTAGCTTAGCCTTATTGTAGACATATACACATATTTTATCTTTTTCACTGTGCAGTTACTACAATTCTAGTGTTGACAATATTTTATTACATTAAACATCAATGATAGTGTACCTATTTTATAACCCAGATGTATTACGTAATGTAATATGCAACTAAGAGGAACTATGAAATTCTAAGAAGAATCTTAGAATTATGAAATCTATGACAAGAATAAGTTATTCACAAAACATCTCAGGCCTTAAGAGAGCTCCTTTTTTTTTTTTTTTATCTACCAATTCCAGGTAAATGCAAACGAGGTCAACCACGTTGACCTCGTTTGCTCTGAGAGTTGCTCTGAGAATGTTCCTAAATCACTCCTAAGCTAAGACTCCTGGCTAGAAAGTAGGAGCTCTCTGAGAGTATGCCGCCTTGATAACCCCAGGGAGTAACAGCCTTTGTCTTTGAGGAAGTTCAAAGAAATGTTCAATGTTGGTATTTTATTTGCACAGAGAAATAGAAACAAAAGAAATTATTTTGCAGTGGTAAATGTGACAATCCTTACAGCAGTTGATGCTGAAAGTCAGTTTAGCTTTAATGTGCTTCATGCTGCTATTGAGACTAGTAGTAGAAAGGTATGTCATTCATGCAGAAGTTGGGCTGCAGGCTCTCGAAGGTACAGTCAGACGTGTCCATGGCACAGCGGCCGCAGTGGCAGCTCTGAGCCACGGGGTAGGTGACGGTTGGGTCCACACCAGGTGGACAGTCAGGAAGCTCAAATGTCTTGTAGTGTAAGTCCCGGTACGTGCACACATGCTGATAAACATTGCTGAATGGTATCTTAATGACAGGGTCCTGGAGGGGAGCAAAAATAACAAAGTGAACTAATTTGTAAAGATTAATGCCACAATGCTAACATCATACATAAGGTGGGGAAGACCAGTTTATGAATGCAAAGCTGATCACATATCAACCATTCTTTGGACAAATACAGGATACCTCAAAACTATTCAATAACCCAAGAAAACCTAAATTAAGTGAGAATGCACAAGGCCAAAATAAAACTAAAATAATTAACATGAAAAACTTGTAAATATTACGTCTGAATTCCATTTAGCTGCTTTAGTTTCAAGGTCCTGCTATTGTACCTGCTGACTGTCACACTGTCATGACTCACTGAAACAACAGTTCATTTTGTTATTAACACCTGTGCTTCCTACTATGACAGTCAAACTGTCAGTGGTGTAAAAATCCTAAGAGGCTTTCACTGTGTCAGTGTGGCTGTACTGGTTATGGCCACCTTAGTAAAGGGAAGTAATGATACATACACCGATGACCCTCTTGCCAGGCCACAATACCTTAGTGATGCAGTGACCACTACAGATTGTTGTTTCCACTGGGTGACACTTGGGACAGCCCTCCTTCTCTAGAGACACCGTCTGATTGATGAGCTGGCAGGGCGGCAGCTGGAAGGCCTCTGGTGAAGGAAGATGTTGCAATTTGGTACAAATGTCATAAACTGTTTTCTCACGAGAGGTGTTGGGAAAGTCCCTGAGAAGCCCTGCTAACTCATAAGCGATGGGCTTGTGACAGAGTGTATGCATATTTCCTGTTTAATAAACCACACTTCTTTCTTTGTGATGTACCACTACCACTTTGATGCCACAGTTCATTCACATGTATTCTGTACTAATGCAACAATTCAGACACACCTATTTCACATTACCAACATAACCATGTTCTATTTTTTCCTGTATTTTATTGTAGTTAGTTTAATGTATTTTCTTGTCTTTCTTTGGACTTTCCTTCCACTTTTGTTTGCTCCATACCTGTATCGAGTTGAAAAGTATTCACCTCACTCACTGTTTGCTAAATGCTTCCTTTCAATGCTTAAAATGAAGATGGATCTCAAGGATTCAGAGGACACAAAGTCAAAAAGGTCCCTTCTTTGTTACGTCCGCTCAGAATCACCACAGTGTACACCTCAGTTTGACTATCAAAGACAGTTTGCCTCACAGAATAAAGTACAGCACAGTATGGGGTGTGCTGAAGGGATGAATTAAAGCACCCAAAACTCCAACTGACTGATAAGAAATATCTACAAAGGTCACAGTCATGGTCTCTCTGAGTCTCTTTTTTGTAACTTTCCAATAAAATCATGCATTTTTCACAATAAAATTTGAATAAAAGGTTTATTTTATGTGAAAACAAAAACTCAGATCAGTGTCAACTGATTGTCTTATTCACCTGCAGGGGCCAGGGGCCAAATGTCAGATGTGGCTCCCAGAAACAAACTCAACACCAAGGGGAACATCACTCTGCTGGCCTGCACAGCCATCATCCTGCAGGAGACGAGCTGGGTTAGTTAGTCAGTGAATCAATAACTTAGTCATTTATATCATGTGCGGCACTTTGTTTTAAAATCTGCTATATAAATAAAATGTTATTTATCAGAACTATGTTTGAGCTGTTCTGATATACCATTTTGATAGACAGCTGCCAACCAATTGCAATTCTGAGTAGAAATAACATGGTTTCCCCTTTGCATGGTCTAGATCATCTACTTGTGTTCCCTCTTCAGCTTTAATTAATCAAGAAAGAACTCCTAATGGAGTGTTTTACCCCTGACCTTGTAAAGAGTAAAAAAAAAAAAACACAACTAGGCAATTCAAGTATTAAAATCATTAGTGACAACTTGTAAACATAACACTGGATCTTAAAAAGTACAGTTTAATCATACGGTTAATATTTGCTTATTTTTTTCTGCAACACTTCCACACATTAAAAAATAAAAAGGAATACATAACATGGAAATCGCCTTGTGTTTTTTGGTGTAAAGGAGCCCAACTTACCTCTCTGGTTTCTGCAGGTAGTGTGCGAAGGTCAGGTGTCTAGCTCAGTCTTTATACAGCACAGAGGAGCCTGGTATCCAGGAAGAAACTTGCTCATATTGGATGTCAACCCTACCTGTTTTTGTCATAGTACAGTTTTGACCTTTACCCAAGGGGATTAGTCTCTCTCCATATCACCTTTACATCCTGTTACACTCATATAAGTGCCAGAATAATATTAGGTTCAGTGCTTTGCTCAAGGCCAGTGTGACAGTAGTAGTTATTGAAGGAGGGATGAGATTTAAATGTTCACGTCAGCTTTAGCCTTTGGACGATGTCCTGAGGCTGAACTGTAAAGTGTATAATTGGAAATACAACCAGCAAAGGGGTTAGTAAATAAAGTAATTGAAAGGGTTTAGATAGTTAAGTTATTAAACATTGTTATTGTTTTTTTGAGATGGACATTAAAACCATATGTAGTGTCCCATATGGTCTAGTGGTTAGGATTCCTGGTTTTCACCCAGGTGGCCTAGGTTCAACTCCTGGTAAGGGAATGACTTTTCCTAGCAAATTGCACAATAATTAAGATCTGAATGTGTGGTTCTATGTTCTCTGATAAAAAAAGTGTACCAATAACATAAAAAAGCCCCTAAGTTGTCTAACATGATAAGAATATGGAACTTTAAAGACGTGTATTTAAATCAGCAGAATATATCCTCCAGACTCCTCAAAGCTGTGTGTGTGTGCAGCAGGGTGAAGACTGTTAGGTAATCACCTGCTGCCGGTGCAATAATCCTGTTTTTTTCACTGTGACACACACACTTCCTCCTGACATGCTTTATTTATGACTTTGATCCTGTCGTTCAGAGAATGAAGGTTATAATGGATTAAGATGGCACAGTGTGATCCAGCTTACCTGTTCGGGACTAACTCATCCTTGGGGTTTCATTTACTAATTATTTTCCTACTACTGACACAATATTCAATATTCACAATATAAACTTGGATAGGCCTATAAAATAAATGGTAGCACAAATACAGCCTAATCCTACAAATGAGCAAAAATATGCTAACTATTTAACTATTTTTCTTTTGTCAACTTGTCAACAAATATTTAGAAGGTGACTCCATTTACCAAATACCAAACGGCTACAACCCATACAAGTAACCTAAAACATAAATCACTTAAACAAACAAACAATTGAAATAAAATATGTTTTGTTTTTTAAAAGCAATAAATATTTGCCCAAACACACACACATTATATTGTCATCTATCAAACATGATAACTCTCTTACACATTTATAAAGGCAAATACAGTTTAGTCGAAGCTTTACAATCCCACGTGTGGGCTACCGTAGTATTTCCCTAATACTGCCCAACGCCAGAGAATCGGAACTATACATCTGCTGTTTGCAGTCGGCGATTAATAGCGACGGACCACTCGCTAGGCACAGCGCATGCGCCAAGGCAAACATGGTTACAGAAATGATCGTTACATGACGGGGTTAGAAAAGAAATAAAAAGAATAGATACATTGAAGGCAAACGTTGCACAAGGAGCATAAACGCAGCTGTCCAATGGCGGGAGAAGAAGAGGAGACCGAGCGCAAGGTAAGGGCCTCATAAAGCTTCATGTTACATTATAAATGGAGGAAGAAGCTCGCTTCAGTTTTTAGAAGGTCAACAGCAGAAACTGTTTCTAACCTGATTCATAAAGTCCTGTCAGTGAAAGCAAAACCTAGACAACTGTTAATGTCATCACTGTGTCTGTCCGAGTTGTGTCGACATGAACGAACAGTAACGTTGTTTGGGGTTCATGTTAACGTAACGTCTAACACCAGCTACATACGGGTACCGGAGCTCACTGCAGTTCTAACATCAGTTAACAATGAAGCTACTGAGCCTTATCAGAAAGGACCTGGCCAAACAAATCCCCTTCAAATATTAAACATTAAACATTGTGCCCCGAAACTATTCAACTCAACTAGTTAGTGAAACGCTTTTCAGAAACAGTCCCACTGAAAAAGTCGGCTCACAGGTTATTCACCAAATAGCTCTGGACTTCAATATAACATTGATTTATCTCCATGGCTCAACTCATTGTCCAATTCCATCCAGTTCAAGCGTTTACACTGTATTGAAAGGAATGGTGCTTGGTGTAAGTAGTGAGCAGAAACCACAGACTGCATGTATACATATACATATACATATATATGTGTATACTGCATGTGTTAATGTCTTGAGTGCTTGACTAGTCATTAGTACTAACACACAGTGTTACACAGGGCCTACAAAATACACTATACTCCTAAAAACAATACATAGAAAGTAGTCAGGTCAAAGCATGTGTAAAGTCACTATGGATTCAGATGATATGAGTCTTTGTAACATGGGCAAGAATGCGTGAATTTACAGTATTTCTCAAGTGGGGGTGGAACGGTTCACAGAGTTGACAGTTCAGTTCCTATCATGGTTTTGGGGTCATGATTTTCAGTTTTTTTTTATTTGGCAAAAAAACTCTTAACACAATTCTGGCTACTAACATAAGTGATGATAACATGAACCTACCAATTCATACATGGCCCGACCCGTAACTGTTTCTGCCCTTTCCTGTCTGTCTGTCCTTCAGGGTTTTAGGTTGCTGGGGATTCTGGATGTCCAGAATACTCCGTGTGCCAGAGACGCCATCCTACATGGAGCTGGGGGCTCAGTAACTGCTGGCCTGCTGCACTTTCTGGCTACTAGTGAGTCTTATTTGAATCTGAACTTTGTGTTTGTGTGTGTGTACATCATTTTGCTATACAAAAACTCTTGTTTTTGTGCAAACCTTGGCATAGCTCTGTGCTCTGTATGTATTTAAGTTAAAAAACAAACCAGTCTCGAAGCCTCTTTAGAGAGATTTATAAACATTTGCAAAGAATTCCAGTGTGTCTATTTTCTGACAGATAAAAGTAGTTTCACGTGGTAAGGTAAAAAACTGAACTAAACCTGTTCTGGTGTCTGCAGGTCGGGTAAAGAGGTCTTTTGATGTGGGATTTGCAGGTTTTATGCTGACCACACTCGGGTCCTGGTAGGTTGACTTTTTGGATCAGAACAAACACTTCCATTAAAGAAGTCTTGTATATTTTACAGTCTAGTTTCTTCCGTTTGAAACAGAAACCCTGCTGTGTCTCTGTCTCCAGGTTGTACTGCAGGATGAACAACGCTAAGCTTCGTGTTCAGCAGAGGATGATCCAGGACGGCATCAAGAACAAGATTGTGTATGAAGGGACCACTCGAGACCCCACAAACAGACCTGAAGCAGGAACTCCGTCAGGGCCCTCATGACCTCCAGCACCGGACTCCCCCTCCCCCTACTTCTGTAAGGGCTGGGAGGAGAGGAGAGGACACCGTGAGGGTCCTACAAAGACTCAATATCCTGTTTTTTCCATCGGCTGCACAAACAATGGAAGGAATTTAAAGTTCAGCATTTTATGGGTGCTGTTTTATTTTTGTTTGTTAGTCTGACATCTTAAGGTACAGCTGTTCTAGGGTGCATCCTACAAATCTTTAAATGAAACATTGACCAATTTAAATTCTCACTCCCTAAAACAAATGCCATGCTATATCACTGACTCCTTCTGCACACCAAGCCCCCACAGAAGGGGATGGCATGCAGTAAAGGTCCTTACTGAAGTGAAACTGGCGACATTGGGGTTATTTGGTAAGCGACCAAGTGACATCACAGAATGGGTTGTGGCCTAATGTGTAACATTAGTTTGAACCTACAAAGGACCGAGCAGCAGCTGTAGATTTCTGTGACTGAGAGTTAAATCAACCTTTAAATTCACCTCAACTCCTGATTGTTTTGTCATTTAGTATTTAAAAGTTGAATGTGTGGGAAATAAATTGTGTACTGATGTAACAGTGTGTACAGTCTGTGCATTCTGGGATGTTTCATCCGGGTTATTGAAATTGTAAGTGCTTGTCAAATCTGCATTTTAACTCTTAACACCTTCAAATTCCAGTCAATTAGTATCTCTGTAATTAGTCAATTAACTGAATATTTAAAAAGAAAACGCTACTTTTGAATTATCTAGATGAAAAACATCAGTTCATCGAAAGTAGATTAACTGTGAAAATAATCATTAGTTTCAGAGAAAGGAGCTGAGCAATAACAAACAGTTGATTGTTGGACATGGAGTGTAAAGTGCCCTGATAACATACCCTGGGTAAAACTTACCCACCTTTTGTAGTACGAGTTAACCTGCTGTCACAAAGTTACTCCTGAAGTTACCTGGATAAGCCGGTTACCTCGCTTCGTAGTACAGCCCTCAAGACATCTGTCCACGTGTCATTTTATTCTCTCTTTTCCTCAAACACTTCTTCGATTTCTAGGGAGACTCAGTTGTCATTGAGGTTTGGCAAAAAAATATAGAGAAAAGGTGTGATTAAAATTTTAGTCGATGAAATCTTACAACAGTGGTAAATTAAAATATAAAAAAATATCCAGCCAGGGAGCCACTGGAGAGGGTTTGACCTCCACAGGTTGCCCTCTGCCTTATGGAAATGACTGTCCAAGACCCCTGAATCCCTTCAAGCTCCATGGCTGTGCTACTGCATTTGCAATGTTTTGTAAAACTGAAAGTGATTCATGTACACGGCACTGTTATTCAGCACTGTTGACCTCTCCATAAAGTATAAAGTTAGCTGTAATCTTAAAGATATCATCGTAAGTCACCCTGGATAAACGTGAGTTAAATGTCTTATCACGTTCAGCAGTATTGGTGCTCTGTTGTGCTGCGACCAGATGACCAGCAGGTGTCACTGCATCCATCCTGTGATTGTTCTACTGCATCATCACACATCAGGTCCTGCACTGTGTGTGCCTGTGAGTTTAACTTGTTTCAACAGTTCTGCTTAAGAAAGTGAAATGTGGATCAAGCAGACTGCATTAAAGTTGCATAAGTTCAGTCTGGTCTCGAACCATAACCACACTGCAACAGTGCCTCCTCGGAGGCTCCTATGGTAGATAAAGATGTCCCAGTATTCAAGAAGATGTGATAAAGTGCCCTCTCTGGTTCCCTTCTAGTAGAGAAAATGTGATGCAGTGCCATTTTTGGGAACCCTTTTTATTTTGTTTTGCCTCAAAACCTGCAAGAGTCAGCCTTGGTGACATCCATGTGTTTTTACTGATAGCAAAAGCCAAATTGTTTCACTCCTCAAAGTGTATTTGATAATTTATCCCATTTTACAAGCAATTGCACACACGTCTTTGTTCACCTTGGACTCTGAGAACAAATACAAGAGCATGTCTCCGGATGAGACGAGCTTTGACAGATATGACACCCGTTTGAAATAAAAATAACTTTTTGTATTATCAAACATACACAAAACTATATTTAGTGGTGCACCTAATCCAGACCCAACAATAGTCAGACTTCAGAATTTGTGCATTTAGTAGCTGTAACTAGCTGTTTTAAATTAAAGACATTTTCGTAGCTCATGGAAGCTCATGAAGGAAGTTTGACCTAAAAACTTAAAAAAGGGAAATATAAGGGCTTTACTGGGATAATAATAACAAAATAATAAATTGAACATCCAAAGAAACTAACATTTTATTTCAAGGTCAAGGAGTAACCTTAGTCTTAACTTCACCACCAACGTAACCATCAACATACAGACAAAGGACACAGGAAGCAGCCACAGCAGCGTCCTTGTGACAGCAGCACTTGCTTGTGTAGTCTTATTATAGAAGACCTTTATCTCAGCCCGTGTTACCGTGTCCTGTGGGACGATTGTTCCACTAGAGCTGTTGGCACACAGACAAGACAGGAGCGAGATGTCACCTCATATAGACTTAGATATGACGCGGACATCAGAGGACAGTCCGGACATCTGTCACAGTGCTAGCATGCCATACAGTCCCGTGTTGAATTATCAAGCAGAGGGCGGTTATTTTTGTGTGTCATCATGAGCTCGGACATACATGGAGTCAGGTTTAGTTCTGTGGACTTAAACAAAACTTATTGTATCCATGTTTGTCCTCATAATAAAGTGTCTTAATTACAGGGTTGGCACTCTTTTGTCACGATACATTCAAGCACTCTTCAAGGACAAATTCTTTCCAAATTAAGGGTCGATAATTCATGTAGATGTTGACAAATATAATCCTAACCCAGCACAGTACTAAACAAAGATAGAAGATTAACTTAATTAGATGACTGTAGAAATTTAAGACCATGCATCACCCGGGAATAGGGGGAAAAAATGTATTCCAAAATGTTTTTATTCCATTAGAATCAATATACACCCAAATATATTACTTTTTTTGTATTATGGTTTATGATTAAATTATGCAAATGAGACTAGGTCTCATTAAACATGCTCATTTTCATATTAGTACAAACCAGGATTTGGCCCAACAAATAGCTATGAGAACTTTTTTTCTTGCTTAATTCTGATCAATAACTAAATAGCTTTTGTCAAAATATAGTTTTTTAATTTCATGTTGGAAAACACATCATATATGCTGAAAATGAAAATGAAAAAAGATATTAAAAAAAGCCTCTCCCCATGACTAGCAAGTTCAAGTAATTGGTTTGTAAAATTGGCAGCTTTACCTATTACGAATGTGGAGATTTTTGGCTTTGAGTGTAAGCAATGGTGTACTCACTTATCACTTAGTACTTAGTTATGCCATCAGTCAGTAGAGATGAGTGAGTAGTGCTTAAAGGGAAATTCTCATATTTGTTAACACAGGTCTTATCCTCCCATGATCAATATTTTACTAACTTTTACATTATCTTCAGCAGCAATGACATTGAGTTAGGAGCACAATCCTCTTACAGGAGAGACATCCTTGACATTGATCCTGAGGTTGTTCTTGGGCCTTGAAATATTACTTAAAACATATATAAATACCATGACTCCCCTCTCATCAAGTCGTTGGGTTGATGATGCTGTGCACTGTGAATTTATATTGTGTACACTTTAAAGTCATCTCTCTAGATAGTGTTTAAAACAATAACAGAGACATATCACATTGTGGGTGTTGTGTTTCAAGTGGAGGAGACCAGTGACCACAGCCATTATTTCAGGCTGTGGTCACTGTGGTCGGTCAAGACTTCGGCTTCAAGACAAAAAAACAATAATGTGCATGTGTAAAGAAAAGAATGGTAATGGCAAAGACAGGAGGTTTATTTCAAATGAATTGATTACGCTAAAAAGCTCATCTCACTGAAGCCCCCTTGCTTCCATGTAATCTGTTTTGCTTGGCCCTGAGTACCCCATAATCAGATCAATCCGTTGGCCTCATTGGGTTGTAACAGCAGCCCATCTGTTTTTTCTCTGTATTCATTCAATAGTGGTCGGCAGTATTAATGCCTGGTCATGCCTTGGTTTCAAGATTGACAAAACTTAAATGTTGACGGCCATTGTTTTTGAAGGTTCAGTGTGTAACATTCAGGAGGATCGATTGAACATTCCATGGAGTCTGCCATGTTTCTACGGTAGCCCAGAACAGACAAACCAAACACTGGCTATAGATAGGGCCTTTTGCGTTTTTTGCAAGTTTGACCGCCACCATAGTTTTTCCTACATGCTTGGAATGGGAGGATGAAGTGAGGGCATTGTGATTTGCAACTGCCCCATTAGATGCCACTAAATCCTACAAACTGGTCCTTCAAATGCAAAAGCCTGCTATACAATGGACTAAAGGACTAAAAAGAAGAGTGATAAAATTACCTGGAAGCACAAGTGGATTACATAATGAGCCTCACCGGCCTCTTCATTAAGTGACTTTTATTTTGTCTTTGACAATTTTCATAATAGAGATTGCTCTCTAGGGTAGATTGGCTCACCCTTAGAGATAGAGAATGAGCTCAGATATGCAGAGGGAGGTCACAGTAGAGCCACTGCTCATTCCCATGGAAAGGAGCCAGTGAGGTGGTTTGGCATCTGATCAGGATGCCTCCTGGGCGGCTTCCTTTTGGAATTTTTTCCAGGCATGTCTAACTGGTAGGATACCCTAAGGTAGACCCAGAACACATTAGAGATTATATATCTCATTTGGTGCTTGGGAACACCTTGGAATCGATCCTCCATGTGGAGCTGGAAAACACTGCTGGAAAGAGGAACAGCCTGCTGCAACCACGACCAAGCCCAGAGGTGTGGCAGTTTTATTTTTGGTCCTGATCTGGGTCAAAATCGTTACATTTTAAGTGCCTGCCAATAGCTATTCTGATATTTCATTGTATTTAACATATTACAGCTGCACTGTGCACTCTGAGGGTACAGTAAGCCTGCATCAGAATGTCAGTGTTTGACAGCTCCATAGCTCTGCTTCAAGAAGATTTGACCTCCACCACAGGCATTGTGTATAATATGTGAGAGCATAAACAGCCCTCCTTCATCTCTATGAACAAGAAACTAAAGTTCAATCAACAGCAGCACTTTTGAGTTATGGTCAACCTACAAAATGTTGCTAAAAAATGAGAAGTGAGAAACAATTGTGAGCATTGCATTCCTGGTGAGGGTGAGTGGGCAGCATTTTAAGGTATCACTACTGCAAAAAATTGCAGAGAAAATGTTGAGCTCTTATAATGATAACTTCTTATCTTATAAAGAGCATTTTTCCATTTATGCTGTATATAAAAGTATACAAAAATTCAAAATATACTGTACTATTTAAAGTATGTAATTTCACATAACATACATTTGTTCCTAAACCAGTCCAAAAATGTATTTCAAATGATATTTCTTACTTAAAATGTTGATTCTAACATAGGTTCACACACTTCATTGTTCTCATTTTGTTCTTTCAAGTTCTCATTCTTGGTGCTGGATTTGGCGCCACCTTGTGTTTGTATTGAGTACTGAGCTTTGACATCAAAAACATCCCATTTCTCAGGAATCAGTTCTTTGTTGAAGAGAAGAGATGCCAGATAGGAGAACAGCAAGATGGACACCACAGCAGACAGCATGCAGATGGTCCTAATTGGGGAGCGCTGGATGTAAACACCATTTACCAGAATGCATCCTGGGAATTGAAGAATAGCAGGTATCCCAAGCAGCGGCTCCCCACACAACACCCGCAACAGTATGCCCACCACGCAGCCCAGAACGGCCCCGTATCCGTTGGAGATCTTGAAGAAGAGCACGCAGACGAGCTGCGGCAGCATGAGGGTGTAGGTGAGGTCGGATCGAAGCATCCAGATCATCAGGACGCTGTTGTCCAGGAAGGTGAGAGATGTACCAGCCAGCCCCACCACCACCACTGAGCCCCGGATCACCCACTGGATCTCCTGCTCTGGCGCCTGGAGGAAAGAAAACAAACAAAAATTAGAATCAGTGGTTTACAGTTTTTTTTCTGATGGCCCGTTGTATATATTTTAGTTCAGTGACACATTGTTAAATCATTACTTCTAAAATGTATATTCAATCAGATGACCCCCTTAACCTGTGGGCAGCACGGTGGCTCACTGGTTAGCACTGTTGCTCGATTCCCGGCTGGGGCAGGGCCTTTCTGTGTGCAGTTTGCATGTTCTTCTCCCCATTGTTTGCGTCGGTTGTCTTATGGCGCTGATATTTGTGTTCAGTAGAAACTGAATTTGAAGTTCATTCTAGAGCTGAATCTGAATTGGCCAACCTTGAATAATTGCATTAAAAACCTGAATTTGAATTGGCAAATTTGAATTGTTTTGTTTAACTGAATCTGAAAGCATAATTTGAATTTGAATTTATTAGTTTGAAACTGAATTTGAGTCCTCACTTAAAAATTCAACTTTTTGTACTTTCAAATTCAGATCTCTAAATTCAAATTCAGGATCTCTAAATTCAAATTCAGGTTGCTCAATTCAAATTTAGATCTCTAAATTCAAATTCAGATCACTCAATTTCAAATTCAGATCGCTCAATTCAAATTCAGATCGCTCAATTCAAATTCAGGATCGCTCAATTCAAATTCGGTTCTCTCAACTCAGATTTTAAACCAGCACAGCCAGCAGAGGGCAACTTCACTGAATAAAGAAAGCCCAGTTCCATCAGGAAATAATGGCAAAATAAGGTTTTTCCCACCTGACTGTTACCTCATTAAACATTTTTCTTATGAGTTTTTGATCTGTAATTGTCAGTTTCAAGTCCTTTTCAACACAGCATGATGTTCATTTAAAGGGTGTAACTTTCCGATCCTATTTAGAGGGGAAAATAGATCGATAAAGCAGGTTTATGCCTTTGGACGGGGCACCTTGTGATTGACAAGTCTGGGTGGCGACCTGTCAATCAAGCTACAGTGACTCTATCTACTGCACTGCTACATTTGAGCCCGACATAGAAAAAACTTATTTAGCGACGGCTTTTAAATTTTCCGGTAAGTACATTTTGTTTTAGGCCAAAAATAGCGTCCTGATTGCAGCAGGGGTTAGGGCTTCAAATAGTGGCATCGGCCACGCTCACAGTGGCATTTCAGGTGAGATGCCAACGATTTCTTCCTGAGATGCCACGACATCTTTCACCGTTTATTATTGGTATTTCAGGTGGCAA